GATGCGCCTATGGAGATGGGGGAGGAAAGGAAGGAAAGGGCAGCATTTTTTTTCCCCAAGAACCTCAACCAGGCGAGAACCTTGGGGACAACGAGGCTGAGAGTACAGGTTGGTCGGGCTGGGCAAAAGAAAATATGAAGGCAACGCAAGGGAGCCTCGGAGCTGAGAATATCGGCCAAGCCTGTAGCTCTGGGAGTTTGGGTCGTACGCGATGTAGAACAATCCCAAAAAGCAAACCATGTGAATATACATTAACACGCAATCACTGGACGTGTAGAAACATTATTTGATCTCTCCACAGTCAGCAATCACCACTGGTAAACGAGGACGCTCATCCCCTGAACCAGAAGGCTTTGCAAGCTTGTTTATTCTTTCTACCACTTCCCAACCTGACACCTGAAACAAAGCAAAATACAAAACACGCTCAGCAGACGCCACAATTCATATCGCATGTACGGTATGGTAGCAGGAGAAACAACACTGTACTGAGCCTTACCACTTGGCCAAAAATGGGGTATTGTCCGTCTAAATGTGGTGCCGGGGCCACAACGATAGAGAAGTGAGTGGTGGTGGTATCTGGCCCAATGTTGGCTGCTGATAGCAAGCCCTTCTGGAGGTGGGGGGCGGGGGAGGGTGAATGGGGGGGTGGGGGACGGGGAAAAGGGGGGTGGGTTTGTGAGAAACAGGGGGGTAGGGAATGCGGAGGGATGGATCGGTCATCAGGAGTTGAGACAGGAGCAATGGGTAAACCAATTAAGGCAAGAAGGCAGGAACACTGTAAAGAGTATTAAACATGTGTTTGGTGATGCGGAAACAAGGAAAAACGGACGTTGGACTGCTGAAACAACAGGAACAAGCTACCACACAGACGACTTCCACAAACCCCCACCAAGGTGACTTTTGAGTCGACTCAAAAGTCACCTCGTTACGTTGGACTGATGGAACAACAGGAACAAGCTACCACACAGACGACTTCCACAAACCCCCACCAAGGTGACTTTTGAGTCAACTCAAAATTCATCTCGTTACGTTGGACTGATGGAACAACAGGAACAAGCTACCACACAGACGACTTCCACAAGCCCCCACCCACCTTGTTGTGCTTCAACAGCAGAGCTAGCATGGACCCCCCACCTTGTGGGTCATTCATGCATGCATGGAACAAGCTTCTAGATAGCACAAACCCCCACCCACCTTTCTGTGCTCCAAGAATAGGGCTAGAGGGTCATCCTTGAAGCTTCCGCCATGCATGCAGGGAGCAAGCTACTCGATAGTACAACCCCCCACCCACCTTGTTGTGCTTCAACAGCAGAGCTAGCGGGTCATCCTTAAAGCTTCCCCCATAGATGCAGGGGGCAAGCTACTCAATAGGACAAGCTACTCAATAGGACAAGCTACTCAATAGGACAAGCTACTCAATAGGGCAAGCTACTCAATAGGACAAGCTACTCAATAGGACAAGCTACTCAATAGGGCAAGCTACTCAATAGGACAAGCTACTCAATAGGACAAGCTACTCAATAGGGCAAGCTACTCAATAGGACAAGCTACTCAATAGGACAAGCTACTCAATAGGGCAAGCTACTCAATAGGGCAAGCTACTCAATAGGACAAGCTACTCAATAGGACAAGCTACTCAATAGGACAAGCTACTCAATAGGACAAGCTACTCAATAGGACAAGCTACTCAATAGGACAAGACCCAACTCACCTTATTTTGCTTCAACAGCAGAGCCAGAGGGTCATCCTTGAAGCTTCCCCCATAGATGCTCTTGTTGATCCCTGTCTGACAGATAAACCTGTCAATCACTCGGTAAAACTCCGCTGCAGAGGCATCCCCACACCCTCCCTGCCCTCCTAGTCTCCCCCCTCCCTGCCCTGGCAAGAGGCATCCCCACCCACCTTATTGTGCTTCAACAGCAGAGCTAGCGGGTCGTCTTTGAAGTTTCCCCCATAGATGCTCTCCATGTTGACCCCAGCCTGGCAGATAAACCGGTCAATCACTCTATAGAACTCCGCTAACTTGTAATTCAGCAGCATCCCCGCCCCCTCCCTGCCCTGCCAGCCCCCCCCCTCACCTTATTGTGCTTCAACAGCAGAGCTAGTGGGTCATCCTTGAAGCTCCCCCCCGTAGATGCTCTCCGTGTTGATACCCGTCTGGCAGATAAACCGGTCAATCACTCTATAGAACTCCGCTCCCTTGTAATGCAGAGGCATCCCCGCCCCCTCCCTGCCCGGCTCGTTCGGCACCCGCCCTTTCTCCCCTGTGCACAGCGCCCAGAAATTTTCCGCTGCCCGGGGCGCCTGCTTGGTGAAGAGCTCGAAGATTATTCTGCCCGCGGGCCGCCCGTCGATGTTTATGTCGAAGAAAACTTTAGGTTTGGGGTAATCCATGGGGTCGGTGGTGAGAAGGCCGGGCGGGCGGGGGCGGATGGCGATGCCTGCTAGCTCATCCCCCACGCCATCATCCATGCCATACTGTGTGGTCCTCCTGGTGTGGTGGGGAGTGGAGGGAAGGTCAGCTCAAAAGGGTGGGCGGCAATTCCTGCTAGCTCATCCCCCACCCCATCGTCCATACCACACTGTGTGGTCCTCCTGGTGTGAGTAGGAAGTGAGGGAAAGGGGAAGGGGGAAGATGGGTTGCAGCAAGAGAGTGGTTATGCAGGTTTAGTGCAGGCAAGGCTGATGGCGACGCCTGGTAGCTCGTATCCCCCACCCCATCGTCCATGCTGTAGGGGATGGTTCTCCTGGTGTAGGGAGTGAGGGATGGGGGATGGTGGATGGTCGATGGGGGATGGGGGTTGGGGGGTGGGGGAAGATGAGTTGCAGCAAGATAGTGGGAATACCACGGGACTACCTGGGTTTACACCATCAGCAATACAAACAGTTCATGTAGTACCTGTGGTTGGCATTGGAAATCATGGCAACGGCGAGATAGCCCAGCACAGCACAGCACAGCAACCATCCCACCGACAGCAGACCCAGTCGAAACCGAGAGGGTTACCTTGGGGTACCTGGGGTGACACTAGCGTTACCAAGATGAGGGGAGCACGAATACCTGTGGTTGGCGATAATGGCGACGGCGAGATAGCCCAGCACCCATCCCACTATGACCGACAGTGTTAGGGTTGGTTCGCCCAACCACGGAACCTACGGCGAAAGCTTCTACGACGGCGGAATGACGGCGAAATGGAAGCACGTGGATGATTCTAGGTGAAACGGTGGAAATCGGCCTACGGTGGAGAATGGAAGCTACGGCGTGAGAAGCAAGAGAGAAATTGGGAAGAAACTAGAGAAATGGAGGAAGAAGAGTGAAGAAGTATCGAGATTGGAGTTGACAAGGGGAAATTGTGGTTCGAGACTGAGGCGTGTTCGAGAAGGTGCTGGATTCGGACTCGAGGAGTGTTCGGCGAATTCGGTTCGGTTCCGTGTGCGACTCGGGGTGAAACGAGGCGCACGCGGTTACTTGGGAAACAAGTGAAGTTACGAATCGCATTTTGTGTCTTGCCTGACTATAAACCTGTTTGTACTCATTCTTGAAATACAACATTGGACAACATTGAAACCATTGAGATTCTGAAATTGCTGAAGCGTGTATTGACAACTTCAAGCAGAGCTGCGCATATCGTTGGATTTGGGAGATCGTGGAGAACACGATAAGCAATAGCAAGTAGACTATTGCCGACTAAGGTGTTTACGATCCTAAGAACTGGTATCAGAGCTTGGCGAACGAGCGCGTCGATCGTCGTAAATTCACTTGGTGCGCTAAGTGAAATTAGTGGAGAAGAGGAGTCGTTCACGCCTACGACATGGGAGACGAGGCGAGTTCGGGTTCCAGTGTGAGTCTTGGAGACCCGCAGTTGAAGGCTCTTCTCGAGGCCCTTGCGAGTGGCCGATTGGTGGCGAAACCGACGATCGGGCTCAGTGAAGCCCAGCGCTTCAACGGGAGCAACTACAACGTGTGGCGAAAGAAGTTCATTCGAAGGGCAGAGGAGGTGGACCTCTTGCCGTACTACCGTCCCGACGAGGAGACGATGGAGGGAGTTGCGCCATCCCCGACGGATACGAAGGAGAAAATAGCGGCGTTGAAAAAGCAAAGTAAGCAAGCTTTCTTTCAGCTTTGTCATTCAGTTGCCGATGGAATCGCGGTGGATTTGGACCAGTTTGCAGGGGAGCTGAACCCTGCACAGCAAGCGTGGGAGTACCTGGAGTCCACATACATGGGTACGAACGATGTCAACAAGAAGGCGATCAGGAAGCAACTGCTGACGCTGAGCATGGAGAAAGGCGAGAAAATCATCACCTACATCAACAGGGCGAAAAGCTACAACGAGGATTTGCGGGTGATGGGAGCCGCGGAGATGGAGCACGAGATGATTGACTATATCATCCAAGGCCTTCCTAAGGAGTGGCAGCAGAAACGAGGTTTTGGCGGCAAGTGTGATTATTGTGGGCGCTACGGGCATCGTGCCGCAGAGTGCTACTCCAACCCGAATAGCATGAGCTACAAGGGTCCGTCGCAGCAGAGGAATGTGGCGACAAAGGCGAATGTAGTGGAAGCGGAAAAGGAGGATGTGATTTTGGGAGGAGCGCATCTCGCGAACGTGGTGCGTTTACCGAAGGAGGCTCAGACAGATGGACGTGAGAAGAGGGCGTGGTTCATGGACAGCGGATGCACGCGTCACATGACATTCAGGTCAGATTGGATGGAGAATGTGAGGGAGTCGAGTGAGGATTATATACTACAAGGTAACAGTGGGAAGTTACCAGTGACAGGAGAGGGTGACGTGGTGCTGCAGAGTCCGTATGGAGAGATGAGACTGGAGAATGTGCTGTTGGTTGAGGATTTAAAGGTGAACTTGGTCAGTCAGTCACAGCTTGATGACTTGGGGTGCAAGATATTTTATGATAGAGGCGAGGTTACAGTGTTTGGTCCTGAGTGGGAGAAGTATGCGGATGGTTACTTCAGTGACGGGTTCTATGAGATGAACTTGGTCGCGATGAAGGGCATAGATGAGTTCTATGAGGACCGAGAGTATCCTGAGATGGGAGAATTGGAGGAGTTATCGAATGAGGCTGATAAGAGCGAGGACACGGATGATACGGGAGCAAGCATGGAGGCAGCAGCGGTGAATGATGGAGATGGAGATGGTGTCAACACTTTTGCAGCAGCGGTCGTGGTTAAAGATGAAGCAGTAAATGCGAAGTGTGTGGGAGTTGAAGCTGTGAAAGGGGACATCATGGTGAAAGGATCAAAGGCGAATGCAACTGCAAAGGGGCAAGTGCTTAAGGAGGATGAACGCGTTGAAGGGTACGAGACCCGAGAGGTGTTGGGTGTAAAGATGCCGAGGAGAAGCGAGAGGCATAAGAAAATCTCTCAAGGTTTGGATGTCAAGGCGCTCAACTACAAGACACGTAAGCAGAGGTTCAAGGTGCAGGAGCTGCAGGGGAGCGTGAAGCCGACTTAGACCCTGTGAATGCTACAAGGAGCAGGAAAACAGTGCGAGTGGTGTTCGTGGTTGACGAACCACTATGACCGACAGCAGGCCCAGGCGCACCCTGCTCGAGCTAACACGCTTCAACACCTGGCGGGGAGAGGCAGGGAGGGAGGTGGGGAGGGGCAGATGGGGAGGGAAAGGAGGGAAGTGCGAGAGTGAGTGGTTAATCAGTGTGGTTTTGGAGACAGATGGGGGAAGGGGGAAAAGGCGCGGAGGAGATAGCCCAGCACCCATCCCACGATGACGAGAGCAGACCCACGCGCACCCTGCTCGACCCAATGCGTTTCAATGCCTGAGGAATTGGGGAAGGGAGGAGCGGGTTGGCGGGGAAAGTGAAGAGAGAGTGAAATGGTTGGCGGCAGAGGGAAGGGGGCACAGCGTGCAATTCACGTGGAATCTGGGCCACGGAGTAGTTGAACAGCTGGCGTTCAGTGCTTCGGCGGTCCGCTGTTGTGGTACCTGAAACATTGGGAATGCCGGCTCGCGACGTCGGTGCGACTCAAACGACCGCTGTGCGACGTCGCCTCGAGGGCTACTATACGATATGATGGTCAGCCAAACACGCAAATGTCTTAGTATGTCTGAAAAAACAGACACGCCACGATTACGAATCCGAGCCGACAGGAGCGTCGGAACGATTTAAGGAAACCTAGAATGTGACGTGTTACTTCTATAAATGAAGATGTCTGTGAAATGAACAGGGTACTGTATCGAGATTTCAGCCGCGTATTGCGGGCTACCGAACTGATCAGCTGAGTCCACAAGTGGCCACTTGTGCCTGAACTGATCAGCTGAATGTGGCCACTTGTGAACCATTCTTCAGGCACTACTGGTGAATTTAGTGAATTTAGTGAATCTAGTAGTGCCTGAAGAATGGTTCAGGAAATTAGCCGCGTATTAACATTCTCGCTAGTATTAATAGGAAATCCTGTTTATATGCATCCCGCGTATGCTTGCCCTTGTGGTCGTGACTCGTGTGTTCATTTTGCAACTGCCGTGCTGGGCGCATTCCCGTGCTGCGAATCAGATTGACGTTTCAGGTTTCGAGCCACCGTTTTCGCAATATTGTGGGATTTGGAACTCGGCGAAACGCAGTCGCGCTGGTAAACGATTTGTGTAACTGAAGCAAAGACAAACCCCAGGGAATCCGGGATAGTTTGGGAAGTGAAACCAAGATTCAAAGCATATCCTATTTTAACACTCATGCTTTCGTCATGGTAACCATGTCCTTCCGTGTCGCAAACACCCACACCTGTCATCAGGGTTCAGGTTTCTGGTCTAAATAATTCGGGTTTCCTAGTCAGGTTTTTCTGGTTATGGGTTTCCGAGTTTTTGTTTCAATCGCTCTAGTTACTCATGATGGCACGAACCGGTCGCGTGCGATTCGTCTGTCGCGGGCGAAGCGTGCGAATTGCACGCGATCGCTCGTGGGACGATTCCGATCCGTTGCGCACCGCCGCGGACGCGGGTGAAACCGCCGAGCGGAGAGCTGCGGCGATATTTCCCGCGCCGGCGGAAGCGGGAAATTCAGCGGGAGCGGGAGGACTAGCAGCGGCGCGGGAGCAGGAAATGCTTCTCAAATCGAGGGAGGATCAATGGCTGAACGTGCTTCCCCATGAGGTGGGGCGAAGCGGAGAGAGGGAAGGATAGGGGGAAGGGAGAAAGAGGGGGAGGGGGGGGGGAGGGGAATTGGGGGGAAAGGGTGCGCGGTGGGGGGGGGAACGGAGTCAGGCGAGAAACCGATAGTTGCTCAGGGAGAATCGATGACTGACCGTGCTGCCCCTCCCCCCTCTTCGTGCCCCCTCCCCCCTTCTCCCCCCTCCCCTCCTTCCCTTGCATGTGGCTTCTGCTTTCCCATTGGCCCAGAGCAGCAAGTGCGGTGGTACACTTCTAACGTCAACGGCTCAATTTCTCCTCCCCCTTAGCAGTGGTGGTATACCTCCTTTCCCCTGTGCGGGCATCCCCCCTCCTCTCCCCTCCTCCTCCTTTCCCCAGCGCAGCAAGTGCGGTGGTATACCTCCAACGGCAATGCCGCCGATTCTTATGGCACTCGCAAATTCTCTCCCCGCTATGTTCCCCCCTGTGTCCCCCCTGTGTCCCTCTTGTGTCCCTCCTGTGTGGCCTGTCTTGTCCCCAGCGCAGCAAGTGCGGTGGTACACTTCTAACGTCAATGGCGCCGTGCCGACCTCTCTGTTGCACCGCCTAGTCAGCGCTGACGTGGACAGCAAGCTTACCAGGCTGGCAGGTGGAGACGCCACGCTGGGAAACCGCTTGCTCGCCCTTCCCCTGGTATAACGACCTGCGTACACAGTCACATTCTGTTATGTAGCCAAGCTTTTGATATAGTCACTTTCCTGTAGTCACTTTGAGTGCCATATAGTAAATTGATGGCCCTCCTATCTTGCTTGACTTTATTGACTTGATTGACTTTGCTGGTCTTACATTCCTGGTCACTTCGAAACCAGCATCCTTTCTCTCATCTCCCCATTCCCGTTTCCCTACCTACCCCTCCCCTTTTCCTAACACACACGCACACCCCACGCACGGTCCATGCTTCGCTTTCTATGCCTTTCTCCCTCCCCTTTCGCCTCCACCAGACCGCTTCATCTCACCTTCTCCTCTTCCCCTCAGGTCACCGCTATGACTGCCTTGCTGCCACCACCCACCACTCCTCCCCCCCTTTTCTCCCTTTCCCTTTTTCCGTTGTGTTCCCTACACCCCCCACCAGACCGCTTCATCTCACCTCCTGCTCTTCCCCTCGGGTCACCGATATGACTGCCTTGCTGCCACCACCCACTCCTCCAGTCTTGGAAGCAGCAGCAGCTATGGGGGGGAAGCGGAGGGAGGGGCGCAGGGGGAAGTGGTGCGGGGGAGCCGAGTGGGGAAGAAGATTCTGCAGGTGAGGAAAGGGAGGGGCTGGCGGCGGGGGGTACAGGGGGAGGGGAGGGACTGGGGGAGGGGGGGGACTGGGGGAGGGGAGGGACTGGGGGAGGGGAGGGACTGGGGGAGGGGAGGGATTGGGGGAGGGGAGGGACTGGGGGAGGGGAGGGACTGGGGGAGGGGAGGGACTGGGGGAGGGGAGGGACTGGGGGAGGGGAGGGACTGGGGGAGGGGAGGGACTGGGGGAGGGGAGGGACTGGGGGAGGGGAGGGACTGGGGGAGGGGAGGGACTGGGGGAGCAGAGTGGGGAAGGGAAGAAGATGATTCTGCAGGTGAGGGGATGTACAGGGAGGTTGGAGGGAAACGTGTCGTGTGTGATAAAGTCGATTTTTTATTCGACTCAAAAATCGACTTATCACATTCTGCAGGTGAGGAAAGAGAGGGGATGTACAGGGAGGTTGGAGGGAAACGTGTCGTGCACTCCTCTCCATTGTCTCCTTGTCTGCTCTGCATTCCACAGAACCCTCCCTTCCTCTGCCCCAGCCTTTGAGGTTCTCAATACCCTCATCCACTCGAGACTCCCGCCCTCTCTGCTCTTACAACTCCCGCCCTCTCTGCTCTTACAACTCCCGCCCTCTCTGCTCTTACAACTCCCGCCCTCTCTGCTCTTACAACTCCCGCCTTCTCTGCTCTTACAACTCCCGCCCTCTCTGCTCTTACAACTCCCGCCCTCTCTGCTCTTACAACTCCCGCCCTCTCTGCTCTTACAACTCCCGCCCTCTCTGCTCTTACAACTCCCGCCCTCTCTGCTCTTACAACTCCCGCCCTCTCTGCTCTTACAACTCCCGCCCTCTCTGCTCTTACAACTCCCGCCCTCTCTGCTCTTACAACTCCCGCCCTCTCTGCTCTTACAACTCCCGCCCTCTCTGCTCTTACAACTCCCGCCCTCTCTGCTCTTACAACTCCTGCCCTCTCTGCTCTTACAGCTCCCGCCCTCTCTGCTCTTACAACTCCCGCCCTCTCTGCTCTTAGAACTCCCGCCCTCTCTGCTCTTACAACTCCCGCCCTCTCTGCTCTTACAACTCCCGCCCTCTCTGCTCTTACAACTCCCGCCCTCTCTGCTCTTACAACTCCCGCCCTCTCTGCTCTTACAACTCCCGCCCTCTCTGCTCTTACAACTCCCGCCCTCTCTGCTCTTACAACTCCCGCCTTCTCTGCTCTTACAACTCCCGCCCTCTCTGCTCTTACAACTCCCGCCCTCTCTGCTCTTACAACTCCCGCCCTCTCTGCTCTTACAACTCCCGCCCTCTCTGCTCTTACAACTCCCGCCCTCTCTGCTCTTACAACTCCTGCCCTCTCTGCTCTTACAGCTCCCGCCCTCTCTGCTCTTACAACTCCCGCCCTCTCTGCTCTTAGAACTCCCGCCCTCTCTGCTCTTACAACTCCCGCCCTCTCTGCTCTTACAACTCCCGCCCTCTCTGCTCTTTCAACTCCCGCCCTCTTTGCTCTTACAACTCCCGCCCTCTCTGCTCTTACAACTCCCGCCCTCTCTGCTCTTACAACTCCCGCCCTCTCTGCTCTTACAACTCCCGCCCTTTCTGCTCTTACAACTCCCGTCCTCTCTGCTCTTACAACTCCCGCCCTCTCTGCTCTTACAACTCCCGCCCTCTCTGCTCTTACTGATAACTCCCACCCATTCTCTCCCTTTTTAAGACGTCTGAAAAGTCTCACAGAACCCTCCCTTCTTGCGCCCCAGCCTTTGAAGTTTTCAAAAACCTCATCCGCTCAAACCTCCCGCCCTCTCTGCTTCTTTCTACTGATAACTCCCACCCCTTCTCTCGCCTTTTGAGACGTCTGAAAAGTCTCACAGAACCCTCCCTTCTTGCGCCCCAGCCTTTGAACTTTCAAAAACCTCATCTGCTCGAAACTCCCGCCCTCTCTCCTCTTACTGATAACTCCCACCCCTTTTTCTCCTCCCCCCCCTCCTCCCTCTGCTTTTTCACTCCCCACAACCCCCAGCTCACAGCCTTTAACAGTGGTAACTGGGGCACACACCCCGCCCCGCCCTCTTCTCCCAGAAATTGCTCGGAAGATTCCTCTGAAGATGACCAAGAGGGGTGGGAGAGGCAGGGGAGGCAGGGGAGGGGCCAGGAGCAGCAGCAGCAGCAGCGGCCAGTCATGAGCTGCCACGTGGCAGCGCGGTCCATGCACCATGCTCACGTGCTCGCCCTGTCGTACGATAGTGATGGCTGCAGCAGCGGCAGGGATGGTGGTTGTGGGGGTGATTTCGGGGATGTCGGAGGGTTGAAGGCAAAGCGTCTGCTCTCTCTCGCATCGCCAATGCCTCTTGCACATGTGTGTGTGTCCGACACTTTGAATGCAGCAAAGCAAACATATAGAAGAGCTGTTTTTGAGGCGCCCAAAAAACAAGCTGTTTTGAGTCGACTCAGATAGAAAAGCTGTGCTTGAGGCGCCTAAAAATCAAGCTGTTTCTTATGTGTCTCGGAAACAGCAAAGGAAACATCTAGGAAAGGTGACTGACCCTTTCAGGTGATCTGTTGTCTCTCTGACAGCTCCTTTCAGTGCGCCTTTCAATCAGTTCATTCCTTGGTTGCTAGTGTTTAGTTGTACGAGTTTTTCCTACTTGCTTAAGCCACCTCCTGAGCACCACAGCTCACTGGAAGATGTCTGAAGATCTGACCCTTTCAGGTGATCTGTTGTCTCTCTGACAATTCCTTTCAGTGCGCCTTTCAGTCATTTCGTTCCTTCGCTTCACGATCTATTGCGCCTTCCCCACCCCTCCTTTTCTTCTGCTTCGTATTTCTCCCCTGGAGAAGGATGGAGAATGAACTCTGTCACTGCTCCCCTCCATCCCTCTCCGCAACTCCGCTTTTCTTTTCCTTACCATTCACACTTTCTCTGCTTCCTTCCATCCCTCTTCCCAACTTTTCCCCTTGTATCCTAACAGGTTGCCTTCCGTCCCGCCTGCTCCTCCCCAGTCCCCACTCAACTCGCCCTCATCACCACCACTGGAAGATTGCAATTGGTCGACCTGCATCACCCCCCTCCCTCCCTCTCTTCCTCCTCCTATCCTTCCTCCTACTCCTCTCCTTTCTCCTCGTCCTCCCTCCTTGCTCGACCAATCCCCTTAGGGGCAGCACCTGGCAGTAGGGACTATAGCTACAGTAAATCCTCGTTAAAGGCAGGGAAAAGTGGTGTAGAAGCAGGTGGAGGAGGAGGAGGAGGAGGGGGAGGGGGAAGAGGTTCGGCAGATTGGACCACCTCCATTGGTGGAGTCGCCTTGGGAGGTCCGGTCCGAGGCTGGGGCAGGTCCGGCTCGGCAGCAGGCTCGGCGTTCCCATCCAATCTGAGCACAGGCTCGGGGCTAGGCTCGGCAGAGGAGACGGACGAGGCTCGGAAGAAGCGGTGGGAGGAGGAGGTGAGGTGGAGGGAGGCGGAGGGGCGGCTGGGGTGGGAGGGGTGGTGGCAGTGCGAGTATATGGGAGAGGGGGAACCTCATATACTGCTGACCGCCTGTGCGGACCAAATCGGAATGGTTGACCTTCGAATAGACATGAGTAGGGGTGCCCGTGGGGTGAGAGGAAGAGCAGGAGCAGGAGCAGGAGGAGGAGTGGGAAGGGGAGGAATGAGAGGCGGAGAGGGGAGAGGAATTGGTATCGGGCTGGTGTCAGCAGTGCAGATTCCGCAGCACTCGCTGCCCTCCTCCCTCTCCACCCTGCCCTCCCATGCTCCCGTCCTCCGCCAGTCCTTCTGCGCCCTCGCCACCCCTGCCTCCTCCTCCTCCTTTCCCTCACCGTCTTTCGCCACTGCTGCCTCATCTCCTTTCTCCACATCAACATCACTATCAGCATTTGGGCCTACTGGTGGGCTGGAAAACTGCTGCTTTGCAGTGGCATCTAGTCGCCTCGTGATGCTCTTTGACCTTCGCAATACAGTCGCGCCGCTGCTGCAGGTGAGAGTGAGACCATGAGATGAGACTGTACAGCACAAGAGCTCTTGGTGACTTGTAATAGTACTTCATTCTTCTTTTGGAATAAAAAGAAAGACTGTTTCTATTGGGTTTTCGGTTAAGTGGTTGTGATTGAAGTGCTTTCTTTCTTCTTCTTTCCTCTGATGGGAGCATGGCATGGTATGGAGGATGTCCCGCGTCGCCTTTTGAGGCGTTTCACTGGGATCCCCTTTATCACACTTACTCCCACCCATCCTTCTATTTCTCTTCCAGTGGGAACATGGAATGGAAGATGACCCGCCTCGCCTGCTGCATTTCAACTACCTCGGAGCAGCTTATAAAGGGGACAAACGATCCGGAAGAGCAGCCAATCACTGGCGACGGAGCAGCAGCATTGGAGGATGCTCGTCAGAATCGCGCCTGATTCCATCACAGCTGTTGCAGTCACACTCGAGAAAGGAAATGGACGGACCTCCCACGCCCTTCACGCCTCTTCTTGACGTTAAGGGTGAGTCATCGAGTGATGTTCACCTCCCCTTCCTCCTTCCCACTCCCCCTCCCCCTCCCCCTCCCCCTCCACCCCCCCCTCCCTTCACGCCTCTTTATGACGGCAAGGGTGAGTCACCCAGTGATGTTCAACTCCTCTTCTTCCTTCCTCCTCCCCCTCCACCTCCAGTTCACCTCCTCTTCCTCCTTCCCCCTTCCCCCTCCACCTCCACCTCCCCCGCCGACTCACTCCCTTCACGCCTCTTCACGACGCCAAGGGCGGGCCTTTGAGCCTTGGCGTCATAAAGGTTTGAGCCTTGAGTCCTTAAAGCCTTCGCCTCATAGCTTAGAGTCCTTAAAGCCTTCGCCTCATAGCTTAGAGTCCTCTCTCATATAACTCATAGATCTCTTCTCCTTTCCTCCTTCTCAAACACGAGTTTTGACTCTCCTTCCCTCATTCTTTACCTCTCTCCCTCCCTTTGCTCCCAGCACCCCCACCCCAGATCACACTCACTGCAGCTGCCCTATTGCTCTCAGACGAGTTTGAGTTGGCCCAAAATGCTCCAATCTCCCTGTCCCTCATCTCCCCCTCTCCCTTCTCTATTTTTGAGGCGCCTCAAAACTCAGACGAGTTTGAGTTGGCCCAAAATGCTCCAATCTCCCTGTCCCTCATCTCCCCCTCTCCCTCCTCTATTTTTGAGGCGCCTCAAAACTCAGACGAGTTTGAGTTGGCCCAAAATGCTCCAATCTCCCTGTCCCTCATCTCCCCCTCTCCCTCCTCTATTTTTGAGGCGCCTCAAAACTCAGACGAGTTTGAGTTGGCCCAAAATGCTCCAATCTCCCTGTCCCTCATCTCCCCCTCTCCCTCCTCTATTTTTGAGGCGCCTCAAAACTCAGACGAGTTTGAGTTGGCCCAAAATGCTCCAGTCTCCCTGTCCCTCATCTCCCCCTCTCCCTCCTCTATTTTTGAGGCGCCTCAAAACTCAGACGAGTTTGAGTTGGCCCAAAATGCTCCAATCTCCCTGTCCCTCATCCCCCCCTCTCCCTCCTCTATTTTTGAGGCGCCTCAAAACTCAGACGAGTTTGAGTTGGCCCAAAATGCTCCAATCTCCCTGTCCCTCATCTCCCCCTCTCCCTCCTCTATTTTTGAGGCGCCTCAAAACTCAGACGAGTTTGAGTTGGCCCAAAATGCTCCAATCTCCCTGTCCCTCATCTCCCCCTCTCCCTCCTCTATTTTTGAGGCGCCTCAAAACTCAGACGAGTTTGAGTTGGCCCAAAATGCTCCAATCTCCCTGTCCCTCATCTCCCCCTCTCCCTCCTCTATTTTTGAGGCGCCTCAAAACTCAGACGAGTTTGAGTTGGCCCAAAATGCTCCAATCTCCCTGTCCCTCATCTCCCCCTCTCCCTCCTCTATTTTTGAGGCGCCTCAAAACTCAGACGAGTTTGAGTTGGCCCAAAATGCTCCAATCTCCCTGTCCCTCATCTCCCCCTCTCCCTCCTCTATTTTTGAGGCGCCTCAAAACTCAGACGAGTTTGAGTTGGCCCAAAATGCTCCATTCTCCCTGTCCCTCATCTCCCCCTCTCCCTCCTCTATTTTCTCTACCTCCTCCCTTTCTCTCTCTCTCCCTCCGTTTCCTCACAGCACCCCCACCTCAGATAACACTGACAGCAGCTGCTTTGGGTTCAGGCCGGATCATCACATGCCCTATTGCTCTCACCACTGCACCTTCTCCTCCTCCTTCCACGATTGCTGCTGCTGCTGCTGCTGCTGCTGCTGCTGCAACAAAAGGAACAGCAGCAGCAGAGGCAGGAGCAGCAGCAGCTAAAGCTGAAGCTGCTGCTGCCCGTCGGGCAGTAAAACGTTTCCAGACTGCCCAGCGGCGCACGCCGCACCTCTTCCGAGCCTTGTCGGGAGGTTTGGCAACCGTGGCTGCTGCTCCGTTCCCCTCCTGTGCTGGTGGTGTGGATGTGAGGGTATCGAAGGGTATGATGATTAAAGCAGCAGATAGAGAGGAGGGGGAGGAGGAGGAAGAGGAGGAGGAGGAGGAGGAGGAGGAGGAGGAGGAGGAGGAGGAGGAGGAGGAGGAGGAGGAGGAGGAGGAGGGGGAGGAGGAAGGAAAGAGGAGAGGAGGAGGAGTGGGGAAGGGCAGAAGGAGAAACAAACAAAAAGGGTACAGCACTAAGAGGCACGCATCCTCATTACAAGCATCTTCACTATTACAACACCCTACCGCACCCAGAGGTCCTCAATTCATATCCACACCGGCCCTCCTCCCTCTAGAAATCCCGAGCCCCTTCGAGAGGAAGCGTCCTAGAAGCATCCTGCCGCGGTCCCTAGATCCTGTAGACGTGCTGCAGGCCTCTCAGCCAATCCCAGCTGTCCACGTGGCAGGCACTGCACTTGCTCCAATTGCTGGCCTTGCATGTATAAGCACGGTGCCGTGTGCTTATAACGAGGCTCGGCCCGACAGCCAGTCAGGTGGTGGTAAGAAAGCAGCAGGGGGGTTGGCAGCTGAGGCGGAGAAACATGAGGGAAGATTTGATTTGATTCAGCTGACGAGGCTTGGAGATGTGTGGGCGGCATCGTACGGCATGGAGTGGGAGGGGAGGAAAGACAAGAGGAAACGGGGAGAGCAGGATGGAAGGAAGGGGGGTTTCTTACAAGAAGGGGAGGAAGAGGAGGAAGAGGATGAGGAAGTGGAGGAGGAGGAAAAGGAGGACGATGAGAAGTTAGTAAGTTCTAAAGACAAGAGCGACGGGAGAAAGAGGAGGAAGGGGAGAGGGGAGAGTGGGGGTGAAGAAAGGAGGAGAAAGACAGCAGGAGGGAAGTTTCCGGTGGTGCAGGCAGCAGCATCTGCTGGGAGTGCATGGGAACAGCAGGCCACACATGTGGTGAAGAGGAAGAGTGACAAGTTCGCTACACTGAAATCATACACCATCCAGCTACCAAATGTGGCACAACGTGAGTCCGAGTCTGAACACTGAAGATTGTTGGCTGGGGGGAAGTTTTCTGTGGTGCTGGGAGTGCAGTGGAAAAGAAGAGTGGCAAGTTCGCTGCTCCGAAATCATACACCATTCAGCTGCCAAACATCGCACACTGTGATGTGAGTGCCATATGCTTCTGAGGGTCCTTTATATGCCTGATGGTGAGATGTGTTTTGAGTCGGCTCAAAACACTGAGGGTCCTTAGGATGTCCGGCGGTGGGATCGACAAGTCTTGGTGGTTTGGCCCTGCACCTGCTGGGAAGAGGAGGCGTGAGGGATGGCATGGCTGCTGCAATCCGTGTTTCATTCACCTCTCCTCCTTGCATTCTTGTGTCCCTTTTGTCTTGATGCAGATGTTCGCTCGCTCTGGATCCAGTGGTTGGTAGGAAGGAGGAGAAGGAGGAATGACGGAGGCCAGGCATGTTTCACTCACCTGTCATGTCTGTGATGTCTTTTTGTCTTGATGCAGATGTTCGCTCTGCTCTGGATCCAGTGGTTGGGAGTAGGAGAGGGGAGAAGGCGGAAGGAGAGGAGGTGGAGGCGAGAGGGGGCGAGGCGAGAGAAAGAAGCACCGAGAGGGATGTTAGGGTGAATCCACAGCACAGGCGGAAAAATCCGCAGCAGCAGGAGGAGGAGGAGGAGGAGGAGGAGGAGGAGCAGGAACAGGAGAAGGAAGAAGGGCAATTGGAAGTGTCACTGGCAAGAGTAGCAGAAATCTGCACCGGAGGAGAGGGCACGACAGCATGGCCTCTCACATGGTAAGATGGAGTGCAGTGGGATTGTGTGGGGTGGAGTGGAGTGAAAGTCATTTGGGTGCTATTGACTGTTGGTTTGAGTCGTCTCAAAGCTCACCTCATCCGCACAGGAGGAGAAGGCACGACTGCATGGCTGCTGACATGGTAAGATGGAGTGGAGTGGGGTGGGTTGGGGTGGAGTGGAGTGAGGTGGGATGGAGTGGAGTGGAATGGATGGGAGTGGGGTTGAGTGGAGTAGAGAAGGGAGGGAGGTTGCAAAGCGATTGATGGACTCTAACCACCTTGCCCTACCCATTTGCTCCCCCATCCCTCCCCAAAATCAGTCACGAGATTGCCGAGGCAGCAGTAGACGCCCAGCCACCCCAGCCAATCGCCGAGCGCCACATGGCAGCGCGAGGGCAGCTGGTGGCCTCAGCTCTGCAATCCCTGGGTCGCTTGGGGTTCCTGGGGGAGAGAATTGGCGGCACTATTACCTCTGCTACTGCTGTTGCTGGTGCTGCTGGTGCTGGTGCTGATGCTGGTGCGACTAACAATCAGTTTGGCATGTCATCTCAGAATCTGGACCCCTTCTCCCAGACCTTCCCGTTCGCGTCACAGCAGAGTTTCTTTTCTTCCCGTCCACAGCACCACGTTCCCTCCCAAGCAACTCCCTTTGCCTCCCAAGCAACCCCCTTCTCCTCCCAGCCATACCACCAGTTTGTCTCCCAGCCAGACCACCGCTTTGAATCGCAGCAAAGCTCCTTCCAACCGTTCAGTGCCTCTCAGAACCCAATCGGATCGCAGCAGTTCCTGATTGATACACAGGAGAGCATCGCGCCCTCTCACATGCTGCCACCTGGCGGCTTGCACGCGAATGCGACGCTGCCAGGTCAGCATGTGCAGCCGCAGCAGCTTATGCCAGGTCAGCATCGGGTGACCATGCCATGTAAAGAAAATGCAGTTCCAGCAACAGTCATGGGAGCAGGAGCAGGAGCAGTAGGTGGGGTGGGAGGAGCAGATGGGAGAGCAGGGACAAGAGCAGCAGTAGCAGCAGGAGCGGCAAGTGAAACGGTGGCAGCTTTAACGGATCGGTCACTGTTCCTGGCGTCACTCCCTATCGGCCCCGCTTGGCCCGATGCTGTGATGCTGCCAGGGCAACAGAGGAGAGGAGGGAGAGGGAGTGAGGGTGCGAGTGGTTTGAAGGAGGAAACAGTTGGTCTGCATCGACCGCAAGACTCGTGTCGGATTGTGATTGGACGGTGGGACGAGGCTATTCAGGAGTGGACAGCGGAGAAGGATAAAGAAGAGATTCCGACTCTGCAGTTTGACAAAGGTGAGACTGAGAGGGGAAAGTGGTTGGGGAGAGTGCCAGGACGGGCTGGGTTGTGTTTTATGTTGAAAAAAAAAATACTTTATAGCAACTGCCTCCAGGCGAGTATGTATTTTCACCAACTCCATTTGATCCCACCCGTTCCATCTCCCTGTTGTGCATGGCAGATTTGCCTGAGGCCGACGAGATGGAGCAAGCAAGCATTGCTAGAATCATGGCTGCGTGTAGAGAAGAATTTTCTGGAATGTAGAAAGTGTGCTCCATTGCTGAAGCGGAGACATAAGATTATGTAGATATTCTTTGTCTTAGCAAAATACATTTCTGTTTCACGCGTGAATCGAAGTGGTTGAGTTGGGTTGGCTTGGGTTTGGCTGGATGAAGCTCGTCCCCCCCTGCCCTTGGGAGGGTGGGGTGAGGTTCCTCCTGGCGCGCTCGTGCATCCAGCTCGGAGCTGGCTCCGCCTTTGTACCTAAGCCGCATTCTCAACTTCTGATTACTTCGCGTGTCAATCGCGAGATCATGCCGTGCAAATGTCAGAGCACAAGGTGCGTTGCGTTGCATTGCGGTTTGATTGAAACTGAAAACTTGTCTACTGAAATTGAGACGCGCTAGCTAAGGCCTTCTTGCTTATCTGCGTTGGGTTGCATATTTGCATGCATTCCCTCTGTGGTTCGAGCTCTTCACGGTCACCCCACCCCTCTCTCTTGTTGGCGCCATTGCTGTTGCTGTTGCTGGTGGTGTGTTGCTCTTGTTCCCTCGCTTGCTTGTGCTGTTGCTGTCATTTCTGCTGGAGCTCCCTGCTGCTAATACTCGTTTCTTCAGCTCTTCATGGTCCCTCGACCTACCCTTTCAACGGAACTATTGTTGAATAGTTATTTATTACGCACCTTCGTCCTTTCCCTCCTGAACATTGCTTAGCGGAAGCGGTCTGTTCCTCCGTCACGGTTACTATTTATCTCCACGAAAACGTTATCCTAGGGCAGCCATGCACGAACACGAAGGCGGTACGCTCGCAAACTGCACCTTGCCAAATGGCGATTTCAAGGGCAATGCGGACCCGGCGGAAGTAGAACGACTACGGCTACGAATAAAGCAGCTGGAAGCCAGCCTGGCAGACGCCTTAGCTGAGTCAGCAACCGCCAAAGCTGACCTGGCTTCCGTTAATGCCAAACTGGCAGTCGTTCGGCGGGAAAAGGAGGTCGCGGTGCAAGCTGCGGACCGTCGGATTGAAACTTTAAGAAGAGAATTAGCGGTTCTGGTAGACGAGCGAGAAGAAGATGCTGAAATCATCGCCCAGGGAAAACGGAGCGTGGAGAGAGCGGAAGAATACCTCCGAGCTTTAGACGTCGCCAAGGTGGAGATTAAGAAGTTAAGACTGGAAAGGGATTTGCTGCAGGAGCGGATTCAGGCGTTGGAGCATGGAGGCGGAGCGGGAGGCGCTATGGCGACCGTGAACTGGCTCGTGCCACCGTGCCTGATGAACGTGTCCGAGCCGCCGCGGTTTACGCCTGACACGCCTCGGTAACCACCACCTTACTGACTTAGGTTCGCACCAGCAGCACTCGTACAAGCCGAGGGTGTCGTTGATGCGACAGAGGCTGACTGAGTTGCGGAGGAAGCGGGGGTGGCTGATGTAGAGGGAAAATAGTAGCTGATGAAGTGGAAGTTGGCTGACTCGGAGGGAGGGTTTGTGAAGACAGACGACAGCTGTTTCCACGCTGGAGATTAGTTCTCTTCTTTTATTTCGCCCCCAAGTTTGAAGCTGATCCGGTACCATTTAAGGAGACTTCAGTCATGGTTGTGTTTCACCATGCCTTCTACGTTGGTTGCGGTTACTGATTCGTCTCACTCAAAACTGATTTTGGAGGTGAACTGATGCTTCAATATCTGGCTAATGCGACCTTCCGTAAGTGTCTTGAGCAGCCATAGCTCTTGGGAAGTTGACTGACTTGTAGGGAGGGGGTTTGTGAAGTCTGCCAGGCGTGGTGAGGCTGAAGCAGGTTGGATGGCAAATCGTTTGAGTAAGACATGTCCAGTATATTTCTTGTTGGTGGCAGGGTCATAACAATAGCTGTAAGCATATTAATGGGGTTTCGGTTTGTAAGGTAGTGTTCTGTACAGCATATGGCAGCATTATGTATTTTTACAGTACATTATCATCGCGTTTTGTGTCCACCCTAATGGTGAGCACCAAGAACCTGGAAGTGGTAATATTGTTCATTTAGTTTTAAGGGCCTATTTATAATTGCCCTTTCAGGTCATCCTTGTACTTCTTAAATTTTTACTCTCCGTTGCTCGTCTAGTTGCAACGCGAAATTTAGAACGGTCAGTATCGAGTATATCTGTTCATCTCCACCTCTCCCCTCATTCGTCAAGCTGCCAGCAGTGCAAGAGCCACAAGAGGCCAGGGTGACCCCACCCCACCCCACCCCACCAACCCCAGGTGCCAACAACCAGCCACAGGGATTGCCGCCAGCTCTGATTCTCCTCCTCACCATCAATTTACCACAGGGAGGGAGAACTTCGGCCATCGAGGGGGGATTTCGAAGCATTCGTTGCCTCAACACGCTATGGACTGTATCTTTAGTAGCACGACGCATTGGACGCATCGACTCGACAGAACAGGTAGGAGCACCAAGTCACATCACAGTTAGTTTATACTCCGCAGCCTATCAGTTGAGATATTTTTCTGCGCTTTCACGTGGATTCCCGCTGTGAACGACGGGAGCTGCTTTTTGTGACGCTGTCGCGAGATATAATAGTAACTGGTAGAGGCCACGTGTTGACTTAAGCACCATTTTCACGGAAAAACGTCTATTTTCAATCACGGTATCCAGCATCGTCTTGTCGCTCGTCGTCAACCCGACGGAGACGGATTGTATCGTTCCGAGTTCGTCAACGGCCGGATATCATAAGCCAAACCTACCAGAAACTTTCACAGAACCTTCTGTAAGGTCCAAACCGTTATCTAAAAGGTATTACGCCTGCTCGTGTCAGGTTGAACTTTTCGGACTGGAATGACAACTACCATGGAAATGCAGTCAAAGCAACACGGCCTAGGAACACCTTCAGCTGACGCCTACATACCCGCTGAGTCAGCACCAGCGGAAGAGCCCGAGGAGGTGCGCATCCTGCGAGCGGAAGTGCAGCTGCTAAAAGGCGGACTGGCGCGCGCAAGAGAACGCGAAGCAGCCGCGCTGCACCAGCTGCAAGAAGTCGCCGCCGCGGCGAATGCCAAGCTGGCAGCGGCCAACGCTGAGGTGGCGTCGGTGCGTGCTGAGCTGTCAGCGGCGAACGCGAGGGCGAATGCGGTGCGAAGGGAGAAAGACGCGGCGATGATGGCGGCAGATAGACGGATAGACGCTTTGCAGAGGGAGCTATCAGTGCTGATGGAAGAGAGGGAGGAGGCGGCTGAAGTGGCGGTGGCGGGACGGGAGAGTTTAGACAGGGCGGAGGAGTATTTAAAAGCACTGGATATAGCAAAAGTTGAGGTTAAGAAGCTTAGACTTGAAAGGGATATTTTGATGGAGAAGAATAGATTGCTGGAGGAGGAGAAGAATAAAAGGTCGGCGTCTTGGGTCATACCTAGCTGTTTGTTGAAGTCTTGATATCTGCTATATACTAGCTGTTGGTGCCTTGAGAAACATTACCCGGAAAGCCATTGGGCCTCTAAAAGTGATGGGGTGGATTGAACATATTGGTTCCAATGCATCCGGTGCGAATGTTGATGCAGAATCTGCATCGAGGTGCCTTGTGACGGGTATTCTTATAAACCTCCATTTGATGTCGTGTCAAGTCACCGCATCATAACAGGCAGGATCCCACTCAATTGTACCACACCCTACAGCAAATTTCTGTGACATCAGCAAGTGTTCAGCTTACATATCGAAGGCTGGGAAAAGAGATCATACACAGGGGTCCCCGAGCAGAAGTGACCATAACGCGCTGCCGCTACGGATGGCACAAATAAACACATCCGCACTTCACGGCGATTAGAGTAGGCGTCGTTCGAGTCCGTGCGATCCGCAGTCGCACAGAGGCAGCTCGCATGAATTCACACGCGAGAGTCCTTCCATGTCGCCTGAGCGTCGCTCTGCGATCCGTGTCGCCATCGCGAGTCGCATTTTACGTCGCAAGAGTCGCACCGGTCGCCCAATTGCGTCGCCAACTTCGTCACCACAGCTGCCTCCTGCTTGCTACGTCAGCCAGGTTTTATCATTCTGGTTTTAGATCATCCTGGCTTACCGTCAGCCATGGCTCCTCCTCGTTGTCCCTTGTCTCCTCCTTTCCCCAACCTCAATTCAGTCCCCAAACGCCTTCTCCCCAAAGGTCGATGTCACAACTCGTACTTCGTTGTAGTCGCATCCGCAACTCCGCTACGACCCAGTCAACTTCAACCAATCAGGAACAGCCAATTGCCCAAGACCCTTCAATTCTCACCATGCGTTCCAGCCATAGCATCGCTTCCTCTCCTCCGCTCTCCGCTTATATTCACATTCCCTTCTGTCGCCGCCGCTGTCACTATTGCGACTTCCCTATAGTCACAGTTGGGGCCAGGGACCCATCTGTACATGAACGGCTGAGATTGAAGATGGAGAATTACGTGGATCTGGTGATCAGGGAAATCAAAGCCAGTCATCCTCCCCTACCTCCTGACTCTCCTCACTCGCTTCACACTCCTCACTCTCCTCCTCACTCTCTTCGCACAATCCACTTCGGAGGGGGTACACCCTCCCTCCTTCCACCGGACCTCCTCTCCAGGCTCGTCGACACCCTTCGCCGAACCTACGGCCTCGCTCCGGACGCAGAGATCTGCATGGAGGCCGACCCTGGCACGTTTGACGAGGCTCGGCTCCGAGCCTGGGTGGAAGGCTCGGGAGTGACGAGGCTGAGTGTGGGATGCCAGGCGTTTGACGAAACTCTGCTGAAGGCGTGTGGGAGATCTCATTCGCTTGCTGACGTGTACGATGCTGTTGATGCGGTGAAACGCGTGGGACTGGAGAATTGGAGCCTGGATTTGATTTCGGGGTGAGTGGGCAATGAAAGTGATTGGGGCACGGGTGGTTGACCAGATCAGATGAAGGCATGTGGGAGGAGTCAATCTCTCTCACGCTCTCTTGCTGACGTGTATGATGCTGTTGATGCGGTGCAGCGTGTGAAACTGGAGAACTGGAGCTTAGATCTGATCTCAGGGTGAGTGGGCAGAGCGAACCAGAAAGAAAGGGGTCGTTACTCGATTGGCTGTATGCGTAAGTGGGTGGGAGGATCAATTCTCACTCGCTTGCTGACGTGTACGATGCTGTTGGCGCCATGAAACGTGTGGGTCTGGAGAACTGGAGCCTGGATCTCATCTCAGGGTGAGTGGGCAATGCAAGTGAGGGGGCTCCCCTTAGGAAGGGAAGGAGCAACCATGCTGTCCCCATCATTGCCAGCACAATGCTAGTTGGGAGCAATCTGTATGTGCTTCCTTTGTCCTCCTGCCCATACCCCCTTGCCTTCCCCCTTCCTCCAAACCTCCCTTCCATCCCAACCAATGGCAGACTGCCATGTCAGACCCTCGACAGCTGGCACCACTCCCTCTCCGAAGTCATCCGCCTGGGCCCCAGCCACGTGTCAGTCTATGATTTGCAGGTGGAGCAAGGCACAGCCTTTGGCCGATGGTATTCACCCGGCCGCTCCCCCCTCCCCGCCGACGATCTTTCCGCTGACATGTACCGGGAAGCTTCCAGGCAGCTTCGTGCAGTGGGGTATGTTCATTACGAGGTTAGCAACTACGCCAAACCTGGCTTCCAGTCTCGGCATAACCGAACCTACTGGACGAATTTCCCGTACCTGGGATTCGGGCTCGGCGCGGCCAGCTATGTCGCTCGGAAGAGGTTCGTTCGGCCCCGAACCTGGGATGGGTACGGGGAGTGGGTCGGCAAGTACGAAGCTAGCAACGGAGTGATTGATTGGCCGGAGGATTCCAGAGAAGAGGAGCTGCTAGATACGGTCATGCTCGGGCTCAGGCTCGGGGAAGGCTTGGGAATGCCAGAGCTGGCGGGTAGGTTTGGCGGGGAGGCAGCAGTGGCGGTGGGGAAAGCGCTGCTGAAATTTGTCGAGGCAGGATTGGTGGAAATAGTGCAAGTTCTGTCTGATGGAAGGATGGAGGTTGTGGGAAGAGAGAAGAAATACTTGAGAGCATTGGAGCAGCAGTGGGATGTGATGGCTGCTCGAGAGAAGGGGGGTGTCGGGATTGTGGGAGATGGTGTGAAGGGGGGTGTGGTGGAAGGCCCTACTGCAAGACGGGGGAGTGAGGGTGGTGAGGGTGCTGGTGGTAGGCAGCATGTCAGGTGGCCAGACCTTAGAATGCGGCTGACTGATCCGGAGGGGTTTCTGGTATCAAATGATGTTATCTCAAGTGTGTTTGAAGCGGTTGGCTGAAATTAATACAAGCTTGATATGCTCAGCTCATGTTGTACCTACTACCACTCAACATAGAGCCTTTTCATCTAGGCGCTGCCCTAGCCAAGGTGGGGTGGCGTTCCACTCCACCTGTCCTGCTTCGTCCCCGAATGCATCTGTGTCAAAACATATTTGTATGTTCATAAATCTGCTAGGCTATAGTGAGATGCTCAGTATAGATTACAGCCCCAGTTAGGGTTTACTACTTGTATCTCACTCTTGCTAGTCATTCATCTTTCCTGCACATATTATTCTGACATGGTATCAGAGCAGGAAACCTGTTAAGTTTTTAGGGCCCACCGATAGTTCCGCTCGTTCTTGCCCGAAGCGCCCTTGCGCTGTCCTGCCCTGCTCGCACAGTGTCGCGCTGCCCTGCTGCCACGTGCGCTGCCTGCCCTAGCGCGCTCCCCTGCTGCTGTCCGCGCGTCGCGCCCTGCAGCCCGCACGTCGCGCCCTGCTGCAGCCTGCACGTCGCGCCCTGCTGCCCTGCCCAGCGTGTGCCGCCCTGCCGCAGCCCGCGCTGCAGCCCGTGCATCGCGCTGCCCTGCCCTTAGGCCCGCGCGCCGCCCTGCCCTGCAGCTCGCGAGCCGCACCGCCCTGCCCTGCAGCCCGCGCGCTGCGCTGCCCTACCCTTAGGCCCGCGCGCCCTGCCCTGCAGCCCACGAGCCGCGCTGCCCTGCCCTTAGGCCCGCGCACCGCCCTGCCCTTCAGCCCAGCGCGTCGCGCCCTGCTGCCCTGCCCAGCGCGCGCCCCGCTGCCCTGCGCGCCGCGCCCTGCTGCAGCCCGCACGTCGCACCCTGCTGCCCCGCGCGTCGCGCTCTGCTGCAGCCCGCGCGTCGCACCCTGCTGCCCCGCGCGTCACGCCCTGTTGCAGCCCGCACGTCGCACCCTTCTGCCCCGCGCGTCGCCCTGCCCTGCAGCCCGCGCGCTGCGCTGCCCTGCCCTTAAGCCCGCGCGTCCTACCCTGCAGCCCACGAGCCGCACTGCCCTGTCTTTAGGCCCGCGCGCCGCCCTGCCCTGCAGCCCGCGCACCCTACTGGCCTCCACAGCCACTGTGACCACCGCTACTTCTACAGCTGCAGCTACAGCAGTTGCTACTCACGCCCTTGCGCCGCTGCTACTGATGCCACTGCCTGTCATGGCCACGCTCACAGTCGTAGCAGCGTCTAGGGGTGGACAGCAGCAGCCACTGCCTCACCCGGACACTCTATCACCACAGAAAATTCGTGAGTGGATAGTTCAACGAGCCCGTGCTGGTGGTGGAGGTTTTGGTTTTACGTATACTGGACAGCGGCGGCGGCGGCGTCATCAGGAGACCTTCTCCCCGCAGCGGCTTCGCGACTGTGTTTCCCAGCGAGGTGTCACTGAGTGTGTAGAGGCTGCTGCTCTAGGTGCTAGTGAGTCTGTTGCCGCTCCATGTGCTAGTGAGTCTGATGCAGCTCTAGGTGCTAGTGAGTCTGCTGCAGCGCTAGGTGCTAGTGCGTCTACCGCCACTAGTCTTGCCTCAGCTGAGGCCTTGCACACTTTCACACTTGACTCAGGAGCGTCACGTTGCTTATTTCGTTATTGCACCACAGTCACACCGCTCGCAGCACCTGTCCCTGTCTCACTGACTGACCCCACAGGGGGCCCAATAGTAGAGCGAGCCTCCACTGTCCTCCCGTGTCCGGCAGTCCCCTCTGACTCTCTTTCAAGCCTCAACGTCCCCTCGTTCTCGACAAACTTGGTGAGCAACGCCGTCCTTCAGGATGTTTTGGTTGATACCTTTATCCTTGGAGGGCAGCGTGTGGCGATCTGTACGTGCTCCCGGACTGGACGTCACCTTGCTACGTTCACTCGATAGCCTGGGTCCAGTCTGTACACCCTGACCACTGCGCCTGCATAGGTGGCTACGTCAGGTCAAGTGGCAGCGTCGAGTCAGGTGTCTGCGTCTGGTCAGCTTGCAGCGTCTTGCTCGTGTCGGGTACTTTCCCACAAGACTCTCCTCTGGCACCACCAACTCGGTCACCCCTCTCTACCGTGTCTGCGCAGCATGCACTCCCGTCTCCTTGTCTGTGGCCTTCCCAGGTCTTTGCCCCCCCTCCCACGCTCTCCTGCCCCGCTGTGCCTTCCCTGCGTCGAGGGGCGGCAGCGCGCCACTCCTCACTCCTCCGAGTTTCCTCCGACCACTGCTCCTCTGCAGACTCTCCACATGGACTTGTGGGGCCCAGCCTACGTCAGTGGGACTGACCAGGAGCGCTACTTCCTACTGATCGTTGACCACTACTCGCGCTACACCACGGTCTTCCCCTTGCACAGGAAGGCGGACGTCACTGGTGTTTTGATCCCCTTGATCCGCGCTGCTCGTCTCCAGCTGCGCGAGCGGTTTCGGCAGGACCTTCCATTCCTGCGTCTGCACTCTGACAAGGGCGGTGGGTTCTCTTCTGGCCTCCTTGCAGAGTTCTGTCGAGACGAGGGCATTCACCAGACGTTCACGCTTCCGGCCTCTCCACAGCATAATGGGATTGCAGATCGCTACATTGGCTTGGTGATGGAGGTTGCTCGTACCTCCATGATCCATGCGGCTGCTCCCCATTTTCTGTGGTTGTTTGTGGTCCAATACGCCGTGCATCAGCTCAACCTCTGGCCTCGTGTCTCTTTGCTAGAGACCTCGCCCACACTCCGTTGGACAGGAGAGGTTGGCGATGCGTCGGCGTTTCGGATTTGGTGCGCGCTCTCCCTTGTTCGCGAGAGCAAGCTCTCTCCTCGCACTCTTTGCTGCGCCTTCCATGGCTTCCCCACCGATGCCCCGCCGTGGTAGTTTTACTACCCTCGCTCGCATCGCATGTTCTCCTCCCAGGACGTCACCTTTGACGAGCCGGTCTGTATCTACAGGCTCCACCCGAACGCGTCCCACCCGGACCCCCTAGCGCCTGTCTTCTTGGTACCAGTCCCCCCCCCCCGATAGACCCCCTCCCCCCACAGGGTCCTGCTCCCTCCGGTGTGTCTTAGGTAGACCCACCCCCCTTGGTTGAGCCTTTGGAGATCTCTTCTGACTACTCAGGCCCGGGTGAGGGGGGTGACCTCGCCGCTGATGACACGGCGGCCACTCGCCCCTCTCCTCGCTTGGAGACCCCCCCTAATTTTCCGCCTCGCCTGTCTTTGCTGCCTCCGCAGCCTGCTGCTGTGGACTCTGGTGCTGCTGCGGGTGGTGACACTGGTGGTGCGGGTTCTGGGGGTTTTGAGATAGGGGGTGCGGGTTCTAGAGGTGCTGAGCCTGGGGTGGCTGACACTTGGGGTGCTGCGAGTCCTAGTGGCAATGGAGCCGTGGGTGACCCTACTGGAGGTCCTGGAGTTGGACAGCCTAGTCGAGTTCAGACGCTCTCGCCACAGCAGATTCGTGAGTGGGTCGTTCAGCGAGGCCGTCCTGGTGGTGGAGGTTACGGTGTTACCACTTCTGGAGCTGCTGGTGCTGGAGGTACTAGAGGATCTGCTGGTGCTGGAGGTACTGGAGGTACTGCTGCTGGTTCTGGAGGTGCCAGAGCTACTGGTCATGGAGGTGCTCGTACTTGAGGTGCTGGAGCTGCCGGAGATGGTGGTGCTGCTGATGCTGGAGGTGCTGGAGGTACTGCTGGAGGTGCAGGAGGTACTGCTGGAGTTGCTGGAGGTACTGGAGGTGCCGGTACTACTGGTGCTGGAGCTACTGGAGCTTCTGGTCCTGGAGGTGCTCCTACTAGAGGTACTGGAGTTGCCGGAGCTGGTGGTGCTGCTGGTGCTGGAGGTGCTCGAGGTGCTGCTGGAGGTGCTGGGGGTACAAGAGCTGCTGGCACTGGAGGTGCTGGTGCTACTGGTGTTGGAGCTGCTGGAGCTGCTGGTCCTGGAAGTGCTCGTACTAGAGGTGCTGGAGCTGCCAGAGCTGGTGGTGCTGCTGGTGCTGGAGGTGCTACTGGAGCTGCTGGCACTGGTGCTGCTGGTGCTGGAGGCACTGGAGCTGGAGGTACTGGGGGTACTAGAGGTGCTGGCACTGGAGGTGCTGTTGCTCCTGATGCTGGAGCTGCTGGAGCTGCTGGTCCTGGAGGTGCTCGTACTAGAGGTACTGGAGCTGTCGGAGCTGGTGGTGCTGCTGGTGCTGGAGGTGCTACTAGAGCTGCTAGCACTGGAGGTGCTGGTGCTGCTAGTGCTGGAGGTGCTGGAGATGCTGCTGGTACTGGAGGCACTGGAGCTGGAGGTACTGGAGGTACTGGAGCTGCTGACGGTACGGGTACTGCGCCGCGCCTACCGTTTTTCTACCCGCAGGCGCAGTCGTCCCTTCCACCACCTGACTTAGCCCTTCGCCAGGTTCTTAGTCTCCCGTCTTCCACTGGCCTCACTCCACCTCTCATGTGTCCACCGATAGACCAGTCTCAGCCACAGCTACTGCCTGGCTCCCTGCTGCCTGCTCCTACTCACACTGAGGTGACTGAGTCTCTGACTGAGCGACGTGAGCCTGAGACTCGTGCTTCCACACCTGTTCATGCTCGTCGTGTTGCCCGTTCTCGTCCTCGTGCTGTCCTAGGCACTCACGGTATGGCACTTCGTCCTTCCTCTGTTCCACAGCGTGTTGTCCTGCCTGAGCCTCCTGCGTCCTCTCTTCCGCATGTTCCTGACCCTGAGTTTGACCTTGCTCATGCTGCCAGTCCTACTGTCACTCGTCTCCTCGCTACTGTAGTCAATGACCCTGACTTTGAGTCTACTGCTGCGTTTTCCCTAGTCACTAAGCTAGTCGACTTTGCAGCTAGGAGTCGTCTCGACTACGTCGCGAGTCTTGTTACAGTGTCTGAGTCTTTCTGTCCTCCGTCCGTTGGGGGTGAGCCTACCATTGGCAGTGACGTCCTTGAGGACAGGCAGTTTGAGCTTGAGTGTCTTGTGGCCATTTTACCTCGTTTCGCATCCATGCTACTTTGCCCTGAGGGAGACTCGGATGCACCAGACATCCCGACCCCGCGCTCTTACGCTGAGGC